GATACAATCACACTTCTAATTTACTTTCTCCCCAGTTCTGGCCCTCATTACTCTGCTTCCACTTATTTCAAGTTTTAGCCTGCCTAGTGTACTGCCAGCCTTGAATTAAAGTAATTTATGCCAGTTTCCTTAGGAGCTGCTTTTAAGGAAAAAAAACAAGCGTCATAGAGTCAATTCTGACTCATGGCAACCCATGTGTGTCAGAGCAGAACTGTACTCCACAGGGTTTTCAGTGACTGATCTTTCAGAAGTAGACTGCTAGGTGTTTCTTCCAACCTGGGTGGATTCAAACCGTCAACCTGCTGGTTAGTAGCCCACCGCTTAACCATTTGCACCACCCAGGGACTCTTTTGCTTTTAAGAAAGACATGTAATTTCAGTACTGAACACTAGATGGCACGATCAACCAGTTCTATGAAACCTCTCGTAACTGTCATAAAATACCAGGGAAGTCATCACCAGAAGTATTCAAGTTTCACATTCACATATTTCATAAAAGTTGGAATACAGCAATAAGACACAGACGTCCACTTACAAAATACTGGACGGTCTCTAGCCTCACTCTTAGGGAATCCAAAAACTATCCAAAAAAGAAAAAAAAAATCCAAAACACAAACAAAAAACAAAGGTAATTTTCCCCAAATAAGAAATAAAAGCAAGAACACATCGAGTGTCACTGAAACATTAGGTTCTGTGTTCTATTTATATTAACACACACACACATACACACGATTACATACACATAGATATATACATATATCTGTATTTGAATCCTCACACTGTATGTATGAAGTACGAGTATTTAGATTACGCTTTTAGAAAATGATCTGAAACCCAAAAGCTATAGAGACGTACAAAGATCTGGTATCCGTGAAAAGCTCATCACAGCTTTTGTAGGGGAGACAAACAAACATTGATGTTCTGTCAAGCACACTTTTGAGAAAACATGGTTTGTATTTGGAAACCAGATGTTTGAATCCGAGATCTTTTTACATCCATAATTACATTCAGTCTCTTTAAATGACGATCACAGTCATTACTGATCTCCCTTCCTTAGTCCATTCAGGTGGGTCTACACATAGGGCAAAACATTTTCTCCTGGCACCCTCTCAGGATTTGGTTAGGGGATCAGACCTAGAAGGCTTGAATTATTGGCACTTTGCTGAGAACTATAAAAATAAAACACAGAAAAGGTAAGTGGAAAAAATAGTAAACTTCAAACCATCAGGAGATGGGGTAAAAAACTTTTAAAAAATTGATATGATGCATATAAAACAAAAATTTTGGACAAAACTGCCTATTTTGTGAAGGACAGAAGATGGTGTCTGAAAAGGCAGGCTGCCCATAGGAGCAGCGAGTTTTCCTTTTCCTGTCAAATCAAATCTAGTTTGTTCTAAAAGTAAATATCTGCTAGAACTTTTCCTGTCAAATCAAATCTAGTTTGTTCTAAAAGTAAATATCTGCTAGAACTTTTATTCTTTATGTTTTTCAATAACTCTTCTGAGACCTTTTTCTTTTCTTCTTCTTCTTTCTCCCACCCTCTATGAGGTCTTGGATCTGGCCTACCATTTTTCATCTAGAGTACTTTTCATGATTATAATCTCCGCCAATTTGTTCCTAACAATAATGAAGGATTCATTTTTAAATCAAGTAAAAACATTATAAATATGAAGTCTCATTAAGGCCTCAAAACATGATGGCTTTTCCAAGTGATAAACAAAGAAAGATTTTTGTTTGAAGCCTCTGAGTGCATTAGTCTCAAGCAAAGAACAAGCTTATCTTTCACAACTTTAAATGCCAAGTATATTTTATTTATCTTTCAAAATGTAAGCTCTGGCATTCATGCGTGAGTAGACATACAGACTAATGGAACAGAATAGAAACTCTAGAAATAAATAAATGCACACATGCATAAAAAGGAGGACCAAAAGAATGGGGGGGAAATGGAGTATACAGTTATGGTAAAGACATACCCGGTAGCCATCTGAAAAAAAAGCAACAGGGAATCCATACCCCACACCATACGCTAGCATAAATGCCAAATAGATTAATGTAAAAATGTAAAAGTTGACAGCTGAAAGGAAACAGGAGAGTTTTTTATAACTTCCAAGTGTAGAAGGTCTTTCTATGATACAAATTCCAGAACTACAGAAGAGAAAATTGCTAAACTCACCATTTAAAATGTTTAAAAACTCTGTGTGGCAAAAAATGAACAGAACTCCATGAACAAAGACAAAACTCAAAAGGCTATCTGAAAAAAGGAAAAAAAAAAAAAGTTCTGCAATTTATATCACAAAGAAAGAAACTCTTAATTGTATAAAGAGATCCTATAAATTAAGAAAAAGATCAACAACCCAACAGAAAAATGTGCAAAGGATATAAAATGACAGATCGCACAAAAGGAAATATAAATGGTTCCAGGGTCCAGAGGACAGCCTGCAGGCCTGGGACTAGGGTGGGGCCAGTGAGTGAGGCATCCAGAGCACAAAATTTAAGGCTACCCTGAGAGTGAGTGTCTCCTTAAGTTTTGCAGGTAAGTTCTTTACTCACTTCACACACGTCCAGGCTCTGAATAGTTCTTAAACAGAGGAAAAGACGCTCCACTTCACTCAAGTAAATACAAATTAAGACTACAAGAGATACCTTTTTTCCCCCCCACTTATCAGATTGGCAAAAATCCAAAAGTTGGATAACACATCCTCATACATTGCTGGTGGGAGGGTTAGTTGTTTCAACCACTCCGGACAGCAATTTGCGACTATCTCTTAAAATCACAAATATGTATGTACTCTTGACTTGATTCTAAGTGTTTATCCTACAGACACTTGCAAACATGTAAAATGACCCACGTATTTATTGCAGCATTGCTAGTGATGGTAAAAGACTGAATACAACTTACATATGCATCACAGTTAAATAAATTATGGTTAATTCATACAGTGCAATACTATGCAATTCCAAAAGGAATGAGGAAGTTCTTTAGATATTGACAAGGGAAGTTCTCCAAGATATGTTAAGTAAGGAAAGCAAGGTACATAAACCCATTGCCATCGAGTCAATTCCAACTCATAGCAACCCTATAGGACAGAGTAGAACTGCCCCGTTCGGTTTCCAAGGAGTGCCTGGTGGATTTAAACTGCCAACCTTTTGGTTAGCAGCCATAGCTCTTAACCACTACACCACCAGGGTTTCCATACAGAGCAGTGTATATAACATGCTACCATATGTGTCAAAAATAAGAGAGAAGCCATATACCTATGAACTAACTTATAGATTCATACACCATCTGCTTTAAAAAATAAAACTATTCAACAAAAAAAAACAAACCATTTTAGCTCAGTGGTAAAGTTACCTTCGATGTTCACTGATCAGCCTGCGAGTGGACAGCCCAGTAAAACCATGAGAGTAACGAGGTACAGGAGTCCAGTGACAAGGCCCAGAAGGCAGAAGGGGAGT